TCTGTCTGTCTGTTACCTTTTCACGTCTAAACCACTGAACAGGTTTTAATAAAATTTGGCACAGAGATAGCTTACATGTTGGAGATGGACATGGGCTACATTTTACTGCGAGAAAATATCTTACTCCCACGAGAAAATTCCATATAATGCGGGCGAAGCTGTGGGTAGACAGCTAGTGATAAATAGAATAAGTTTTTTTTTTACATTTATTACCTTTAAAATACAATTCTAATAATAATGAAAATAACATAAAGTTATTTAATTTTAATGTTACAAATGTGCACGATTTTCTTTGCACAACTTTGCAAAATCTGGTTGCGTTTTGATCAGCTTTAGTCTTGAGTCATCTTCGAGTTGAAGTCGGTTACGATGTTTAGTTTTCATGTTTGTCATGGTCGAAAATCCACTCTCGCAGAGGTACGTTGTGCAAAATGGCGGTAAATATTTTATTGCTGCTTCGCTGACATGATGATAATGATAATTGTACAATTTTTGTTTCTTGTGTAAGAATTTCATTTACGTATTGTCACAAATGCATTTTTTTGATGAAATTTCGAGATTATTTTTAGTTATAAATAAACGAATTTGTGCATTTGACATCATTTTGTAAATTGCCGAATTTTTGATGGTCCATCCATTATTTTTTTGATTGCTTCATCTCATGCATTTAAATTTTAAATCAACCAATTTTAGATGGCCGCGCGTACCCTTTCACACAATTTCGCGTACCTCTGGGGGTACGCGTACCACTAATTGCGAACCACTGCCATATTAGATAACCAAAATTGATAGCAAGTCATTTGATTAATTTCATATGAATTTTCTCTCTCATAATAATTATGTATTCTTGCATTGGCATAATGGAGTTTTAAGACCCCAGATATTTTAATTTTGAGATTGCTCATATTGCTCTTATTATCCCCATACTTTCCTAAAAATATCTGAAGACATTGAAGTTGATGAACTACAGACTTCATAAAAATAATAAATTATGGTCAACTTTCCATGGAAAAATGTTATGGAACATGTCAGATGTTAAAAGTTTCTTTATCAGAACAACTTTGTAGTTCTGATAAGATTCATGGTATATGTAAGATTTGCAGAAGGTGAAAATATCTGCAACTACAACAAGAGATGGTTATATAAAAGAATTCTTGCATTTGTGCATTTTTCTAAATAATATAAGTCTAAACTTTATAACCTAATCTATTAATTTAATGGGGGTTATTGTGCTTGTCACACTAAATATGTAAATTTCAGTGATTGCACCAATAACTTCACCAGATTAAATACAATGTGTAGTAAGTAAAATATCATTTTTATAATTTCTAGAATCTTTTAATATGTATAAAATCTAGTTCAAATATTTATTTCTTGTATATGTTCTCTTTGGATATCAGGGAAAAGGTCTTTGTGATTAATTCTTTTTGTTATCTGAAGATGATGAAAATAAATTCAATTTCCACTTGATTATCTTTTTATAATTTTATCTATCTTCACATTACTGTTTTATATTTCCAAAGTTTTGAATAGTTGCCTATGTATAAAAATTTCAATTTCATTTAGTATTCTTTATATTCACGTATTAAATTTTATTAAATCAAAATAAAGTTAATTCTGATGTCAAGTGAACCAGTCTTTGTATCTCTGTAGTATTGTTAGCATTTACCTTCAAATTCAGAAGATATTTATATATTTTGACTAAAATATCAAATTTTGATATTTATAAATACGTAAATATCACACTAAATGCCCCAATTATATATAATTTAAATATTATATTATTTTCAAAATGTAAAGATGAACTAAGTTTAAGATAGAATTATTTCTGTTAATTAATAAAATATTTAATAGCATAATTTATATGAGCTTATTGTAAAATCAAAACATTGTATATTTTAAAAATTTATGTTAAATTTAACAACAGAATTTTATATTTTGATTTAATATTTAACACTAAATTATCTGAAATCAAAAAACAAAATTCTAAAACTTTTGTAAAAAGAACTAACTTTCTAAATTGAATACTGCATATTCTATTTAGAGGAATTTTGTAATTTTTGAATCAATCTGATCAAAAATAAAATATATAAAAAGGTTGTTTTGTGACTAATTTGATAAGAAAGATTTACATTTTAGAATTATTGAAAACTGTTAATCATTTATAAACTCTTTTTTATTCAATTTTTTAAATTTTGCAACTATAATTTATAAATGAACTAAGACATAGTTTGTAAAATGTTTTTCTCATATTAATGAAATTTTTATACAGTTAAATTGTGAGATCGGGGAATTTAAATTTGGTATTTTATTCTGTTTGACGTGTTTTTTAAAGATCGAGAGAAATCAGAATTTTAATTGGATGAAAGATTTAAATTCTCTATTTAATGCTTATATTAAATTTTTTTTAATTTATTGCCTTTTTTTCAAATTTAAATCATTAAAAAATATTTTTACTTTAATGGAAAAAACATCAAAACAAAAATTTTTAGTTAAACTATTTATTTTATTTATGAATTAAAATTTTCATTTTAGAGAAAATTGTATAAGACTAATTTTTTTCATTATTTAATATGTATATGAATTTTAAGATAAGTAAAGTTAAAGATGTAATTTTTAATTTAAAATTTTGAGACAGAATATGAACATTTTTAACCTTTAGTGTCTTTAATTTTAAAATCGATTATATAATATACAGTAAATTAGAATGGTCTTTAAAATTTATTTTTTTAAAATTTAAAAATAGAAACATTATTTAAATATAAATGAAATTCAACAGAATTTTCCTTTAAGTACTTATTAATAAAATTAAATAAATCGTATTTCATGGCATAAATTTATAAGTTTTAATTGTTAAAGGAAGTATTAAATTTCTATTTATCTGAATATTTTTGCAGATGATGATGCATAAAACATTTGTATTAAAGAGAAAGTATCAAATACTGTACTTATTGCTTGTTTCTTTCACATATATGTGAATTACTTTATTTTGAATTCTTGACAGAATTTGATCTAATTTATCTTATCTGTTTATGCTTAAAACGTATAAACTTTTTAAAATAAAGATTAATATTGTAGCCAACTAGTTGATTGTCTTTTATAAATACAACAAAAATCAAATATTTTAATCTTTCTTACAGATAAAATACAGTTATTTATTTGTTAAATTAATAGAATCTCTTTTTGCTATGAAAGCAGTTTAGGGTTCTAGTTGCTATTTAACCTGCTTCTCATGTGCAGAAATATAGATGATTATGCAATTTGCCAGAATATTATCCTCTATTGGAAGAATAGAATCCAGTTTGGAAAAAAAAAGTTTAATATATTTTTGAGTATCTGACCACAAGATCTCTCTTATGCTATTTTTATACCACTGATTAAATTTTATGATTTATTTTAATCTTTATCTAAAAGATGTTTGGTTTATATATATATATATATGTGTACTGTATATATAATTTTGATATTTTGATGGATACTCAGTGTTGATTCCAATATGAGAAGTTACATGATTCGTGCTCATGACAAACATTTTCTTCATTGTGATTTTATATTATATTAAAATAAAATAAAATAAAAAAAAACAATAAGAAGACATTATAAAGACTATAATGATGGTAATAATATAGCAACCTTTATCTTCAGCCAACATTTCAAATAAAATGTTTTTGACCTCTTGAAATCCATTTTTGAGGAATTTTTGTTTTTTAGGTGTTCAGTCTAGAAAATACGCCTTGAAGAAGTTGAAAACATTTTGATTATTTGAATTATTAAATTTAAACTAATTTTAGCTATAAGCCATATTAACTAAGAATTATGTGTACTAAATACATATCTGGATGCACCATAATATAATACCAAGAGATAATTTCCTTTGAAGTAATTCTTCCTATTAAGTGGAAAAAATATTAATTTTTCATACTTAAAATGAAAATTTCATTCTTTATAAATTATAAAATTGTATTAATTTCTTAATATAATTAAATTTGTATGATTTATAAAAATTATTCTGCCATTAAACATTTTTATTCAAATGTTATATATAAGCTATTTAATATATTTTAAAATGTAAATTATTAATAGGTTAATTTACATTTTATACATATTTAATCATGCTGATAATTCATATTAAAATGTGTGTGTGTGGAAACTTGCATGTCAAATTTAAGTGGAAGAAAAAAAATTATATTTAATTTGCAGCAATTACAACTAATCTTAATTAACTTTATGCTAATTGTATTAGATAATTCATATTAAATTTATTCATTAACATCATCTTAATTTCATTTATAGAAAGATTGAAGGAATTTTTAAATAGGAAGAATATCAAATAATAAAACAAACATTCTAATATACAGTAATTTTTTATTAGTGATATTTTTGAAAGAATTACCAAAAAGAGTTTTTTATTCTATATATTTATTTATTTTATGCATACAAACATAATTAAAAATTTTATTTTTATAGATTATTCCAGTATTAAAATCAGCATATAACAATTTAATAATGATTGCTGGAATTACTGAAAATTCTGAATCACACACTTTGTTGAGAAGAACCCGAAATTTACTAGCAGCTGATTTAATGGTAATTATTTATTTTAATACATTCTGATTTGTTTATACTTGATATAATTTATTGCATAAAATATAAATAAATTTATAATAACTGTTTTAAGAACTATAAGATTATAACAATGTTTTTATAGTAATTTGGCTTATGTTTATAGGAAGAACTTCAATTTAAATTTTAATTCAGATAAATATTTTTTATTTCATATTTTAAAAAAGTTATTTATTATTAAAAGTAATAAATAAATGAATACAAATATATACACTAGTTAATTCTAATTTACAAGTTATGAAAACTTAATTGATGGAAAATCCCTTTCAATGACTAAATGTGATTTTAAGAGTTTTAAATTATTATTAGTTTATTGTGATATTTAAAATGCTATTCAATAGAATTCCTCATCAATTATTATGTAAATAATTATTAAAGTAGATAATAATGTAGGTAATAGTTAAAATGCTTATACTATATTTAATTTTAATTTAGTTGTTTATTCTTTTAATTATAATTTTCTTTTGTTAGTGAAAAAATACAGATGTGTTTTTAATTACAATAAAATAGGAATTTTATTAATCAGAATTAATATTTGCGTTACGATGAATAAAATAAAACAATTATAAATTAAAAATTTATTAAAGACACTAGCACGATTGTAATTAAGGAAAATTACTAGTTATAAACAACTGTACAGTTTACAGGGTATTTTCAGTAACTGCTTAAACTTCGGATAGTTTTAAAATAGCCTCATAGGTCCAAAGCATTTCCTTCCTCCCTTGATATAGTTAGTGTACCATTTTGTGTTTCACGGCGACTCGATATATCTCGAACTTGCTTCCATAGTGTCAGTGATAATGGCAACCTAACCGCTATTTACATATTGCGTGCTATCCAGTAATGGCTGGAAATCCCGAGAGGGATTCTCGCGTCAGACGTGAAGGATGAGTAGCGATTCATTCATTACCTACTCGTCGGTCCATTGGCTACAATCTGGCTGCCAGTAAACACACCTCCTCTGGGTAACCAAATCGAGTTAAGACACCGTCGGGAAACCGTACCCATCAAGCTTGTTTTCCATTGTGAAAAATATTCGGCATTAGTTCGTTCCATTATTTTATATACGGAGCCAGTAAATTGCCGCGGCGTTATTTACTTAAAAACATTGGAATATTTTCGCGCGCCTCGCGAAATTTCCACCTTTTTTTCGTCCTGGCGGAGCCGCTAGGGTGCACTTTTTAATTAATGGATCCAGTCATTGGTATTAAGGTGACGTCGAAGTCGGAGGTGTAGGTACGTTGTGCGGCTTCGATAGGGCGGTTTGATGAAGTATCTTCGCCAATGTCGCCACTCCTAAATTTGATAGCATGATGGCGCAGTGATTTGCTGACAATTAGAGAGCAAGGAGTCTCGTGACAAGTCTGATGGATGGCCTGCCTCTTTTCTTGCTAGCGTGGCAGGTGGCAAACCTAACAGGTCTCTGCACTCTATAATGAGATCGATCTTTCACTAACTTTACCGTTAGATGGAGTTGCTTTCTCTGTGTGCTTCCCTAACAAATGTATCCTGCAAAATTTTACGGGGCATCTTAAGATTGCCAAGAAGCCATATAAGTGCTCTTCGCGAAAGCCTAACGAAACGTATTTCGAATAATTTTATTTTCTTTTTTTACTTTAGAGTTCGGAATCGAAAGAACTTAATTTGGCCGAAGTTTGGTCGCCGGATTTTCCCGTTGCCTTCTCTATTATCTCGTTTTTGGCCATCGTCATGATTTTGGCCGTTTTAGGAATATCGGTGGCCATCTGGAATATGGATCCCGGCCGAGATTCAATCATGATTGGACAACGGACGAAGAAAGATTGAAGACGATTCTTCCTTCTCGTTTCTTGGGGCCACGTCGTTGTTGTTTTTTTTTTTTTCCTAATTTATCCGAAGCGTGCGTATATATTAATTGAAAATATCGTAGCTGTTTATCGATGGTCCTTATATCAAGTTATATTCCAGGAACTTTTCTTAATCACGTGATCACTAAAATTTACAAAAATTAATGATGTAATAATAATTTTTTACGTTTTTTTTTCTTTTTATAAAAAAATCTTTTGTATAATTAAATTCGTACGAAACTTTGTATATAATTAGCTACACTCTTGATGTAATTATGTGTAAGTTATGTATATTTAAGAGAGAGCAAATTATTGAATATTCTGGATGAAAGTCATATTATCGTGTAAACAGAATACTTTAATTTTACTAGTAATTTATATTTATTTAAGAATCATGTTAAAATATATAGTTTAAAGAATGTCAGTTAATTAATTTGTATGTAAATTGAATCGAGGAATAAATTTAAATAGTGATATCAATGTTTTTTATTTACTTAAACTACATAAAAAAGAGAATCAGTTCGGTTTAAAATTCCATTTTGATGATAAGTTATTTTATAGTGAATTTTTCATTCATATTTTAAATTCTAATACTTAAAATCCGTTCTTAACAAGGTTATAAAACAGATTACCTTTAAAAATTTTACAAGAAAAATAAAACTACTCTTTGCATGCATAGAGTATAATAGACAAAAGAAATAGACTAAAATTTAAGAAATAAATTCTCATGGAATTGAAAATATCACTATTCAGATGAAATTATTTAACAAATTTCAAGTTTTTTCCAGAGGGAGAAATTTTATATATATATATATATATCTAAATTTTAGAAAGTATTAAATTGATGTATTTCGACTATACAAAAAAGAATATCTAATAATACATATCGGATATCAGCCTTAATTTCTACATTTAAAATTTTATCTAATACAGTTTCGTTGAATATATAATTGAGCAATGAATTTTTCAACGAGTCACAACGTAATGTGAAATGAATAAAACATTTCAAAAAATAAACTGAAAATTAATATATTGTATCCGTAGTTTCTGTTAGAAAAATTCGAAAAGAGTCATTGATAATGAAACTTAATATTAACGTTAAATTTTATTAGTGATTTGTTTATCGTGCATCAAAAATCGAAATCTTGCCCATTCAAATATTGTTACTTGGTGAAGCTGTTTTCACGAATTGTTCGTTTGAATACAAGCTATGTATTTTATTTCTCAAATATGCTGACTTATCAAACAACCTGAACTTAATTCTTAACAGAACTAAAATCTATATTAATTCTTTCAATATTATCAGTAACAATAAATTTTAAATGGGATATAAGAAATGAATTACAATATTTTTATTGAAGTCAGACATACAAAAGATTATAAATAAAAGAACATGGTGGTTGAATACACAGAATATTGTACACATTATTTATATACATTTTTATTTAATTTTAAAAGAATTGAAATATTGAAAAAAATGTCTTATGCTAATCTATTTTTTTTTAAATTTTTGGTTAAAACACTTTAAAAAATGAGCTGCATAGTGATCAGCTCCGTCTCCGTCGTAATGTGGAGATGGACACTTTATTAAAATGAAGTGTTTTATTTTACCAGTATATTTAAGTAAAATATAAACTTTTATTGTTTCTATAGAAGTAGAAAACTCTCACATGAAACAAATGCACTTTATTTTTATCTAGGCATTTTCAAATATAAAAATTATAACAGCAATAAACGAATCATGATAATTTGTTTTTAATAAATGAATAAATTTGTTTTAATTCTTTTTATATAATAATTATTTCTTAAAATGAATATATTCACCTTCTTCAGGCACTTTATTAAGTTAGAAAATCAAAGTAATAGTCTACAAAATTTTAGTTCTTCGTAACACAATATAGGCTATGCTGTTTTGATTAAAGACTAATAACATTTCCTACACTAAACAATAAATTATTTAATTTGCCATCTTTCGGTTAAAGTAGCTTTTGTATAGTTATAGTAACAATAATCGTGGGCGTAATGGAACACTAGTTGAAGGGCCGAGGGGGTTGATTTTCCCGAAATTGTACACAAAAACAAGTATCAAGTTTTAATTTGCCATCGCTGATAATTTAACCTCTACTTTTTCTGTGATTTTTTTCCCTCCTTACTTTGCCCGAGCTTGGGAGATCAGTTGCTCCCTCCTTCCCCTCGTACGCCATTGCCAATAATACACAAAATCTGTAAATAATTATGATTAACACTTTTTTATAGGACAATTTTCGAATAAATTCTCTAGATTCGGCGACTTGCAAATTATTCATTTTATTTGCTGTGATGTACTAAAAATTATTAATGAAAGAATAAGATAGAATTAAAAATTTGAAAATGATTATCTAATGATAAACCAAGCTTAATGAATCGCACGAAGTTGGCCTGTATACATATATATATATTTTCAATTCTTCGGTTTAATTGACTAAAATCAGAAAACACTTTTTTTATGTTTATGGTTTTAAATATTTTAATATTTTTCGTTATAAAATGGTTCATTTCTATGTACAGTACAGTCCCTGTAACTTAGCCTAACAGATAACGTATTTTAAATGATGGAGAAATAAAGTTGAATACTGAAGAAAAAAGGAGGGCATTTGTAAAATCGAATGAATATTATTTAAAATAAAGTTCAGAAATTAACTTACAAATTATTTTAAAATTAATAAATTCTTTTTTTAATTTTCGAACGTCCTATCTAAAATATAACCTTTTCTTTTAATTATGAATTCAACTGGAAAAAACACGAATTTTGTCAATGCGAAGTAACTTTAATGCGAATTTGCGCTTGATTTCGTGCTATTTTTATTGCATGTACTGTACAGTACAGTACAGTAACATTTGGTCGAGGAAAAATGAATAAAATATTGAATCGATTTCGCTATGTCAATGCCTTTAATGTCTCCAACAATCGTAAATTTCAATTGGCACATTTTTTTATCAATATGGCCAAAAATGAGACTTGTGTGCACTTGACGGCCTTTGGAGCATAACTCTATTGGGCTATTAGTTAAACTTTAATATGCTATGTCGGATGCCAAATTATATAGAATATTTTTATAGTAGGCTATATCCAGAAAAATGCGAGTTGTTTCTTGTGATATAGAGAAATATGGTTTCTAGATTTTAGCTTTGAATCAGTACTTAGACAGCAGAAAATATTGTAAACTTGTAAAGTAAAATAAAAAAAAATTATGAAATTTTATAGGGAAGAAATTGGAAATCGATTTTTTTAGCTCGCTCGTCCCTGTGAGCATTAGAGGGCCTTTCCTTCAGGCCTATCGTGAGTTTGGCCTGGCCTATAATAGAGACAGCCACGTAGTGAGGGACGGGACCCGACACATCTGGTTCAATTCAATAACATATTTTTATAAAACTCCGATTTATTAAATTTTTAAAATAAAGAATGCAAAGTTAATATTTTGCAATATCTTGTATTTTTACTATTATACAAAACATCTTATTTTTCTAGTGAATATTCTGAATATCCGTTCCATATCAAAGAACAACCGGATTCATTTATCGGATCACTAAGGCTAAATAATTACTAAGCAACTAACAGGTTAGACCGCCATTTCCTGTTAAATATTTTAATAAATAAATAAATTAATTAATTTTAAATAAATAACATTTAAATTATTATAATATTCTTCAGAAAGATTCTAGCTGATTACATAGACTATAATTGTATGCAAATATACATAGAAAAACCCGCGCTACGGGTTTAATCTGGGTTAAATTGTATATTAATTTAAAGAGTTTAATAACTACAAAATTAACCATAAAATATAGAAAAATTTTGGAAAATAATTTATTCGATTTACCGGTTTAATATTATACGTTGTATGGGAGTGGATCCCTCGCAGAACTGGAATATTTAAGATCTAAGTTAAAAATTAAATTTATCAACCTCAGAGATTGTTAAATTAAAGGACTGATTCGATAAAATTAAATAAATCAAATAAAAGGATTTGATTAAAGATAAATCATAGACTCGTAGATTTTTATAGGTTTTAATTGAGTTGTTTTTTATTTTTAATGTGGGGATGGCTTATTTTGCTCATTGAGCGTCGCTATGTATCGTTTGAATAAAGAATAAAGAACATAATGAGTTGTTAGAATGGTTTAAAATTCTTAGAATGGAGAGAAAATGCTTGTTTTTAGCTATCAAGAAGGTGAAATTTCCCGTAAAGAACCATCACTATTATTGCAGCTGTTATTGGCAAAGCTAGATATTACATTACTGTACACACTCCGCGATGTTAGATACATAGTATTAGAGCCAATTTATCGGATTTGGAGACTTACAACCTCTTAAAAGGAAAAACGATAGGACATACAAAAATCCTCATAAAAAGAAGAATTCGTTTTACATGAGGGTTTTTATGATACTGCAGCATCAGGCCATCTTGCTATAATCTATCAAACAAGAGAATTTTATTTAAAAAGTTCATTTCTACAGAATAAAATATAATTACGTCAAATTAATTAGTAATAAACCCGTGTCAGTAGAGAACAGGCTAATCTGGAGATAATGTAAATATGTCCACGGATTTTCACAATTTTAATTGACTTTCAGGCCTAAACAATTTGAGTAGAAAATATTAAATAGTTTCGGGATTTCTTTCGTGGAAAAAAGGGTATATAGGATGGCAAAGTTATTTTTCAACTTACAATTAGAATTATTATTAATTCTTACGAAAACAAAGACAAGAGAGCAACGATTTTTTTTGTTAATAAGAAAACGTTGGAGCATTGAAGTGTGTCGACCGCCGATTGCCAGCATCCGATACGTATTTCAATCGCCTATTCTATCAAAAAGCTACTTAGAATTTCAAGCAATCTGCCGCCCGCTTTAATCTATCTGCCGTGCACTCGATTTAATTGCTTTATCTCGTTAGTTCTCGCTACTGCTAGCAGGTGGCGCAACTCATCTGACTAATGGCCGACCTTCTACGCTCATTAGACTAATAACGGGCTTTCTTTGCCAAATCCAAAAGATATCTTTTTCTCTTCTCTACGCGAACAATGGGCCTTCGAGGTAGAAAACAACGTCTTCGTTTTTATCAAGTTTCTTATGCAATCTTTTTTTTCCTTCTTCTTTTTTGCAGCGAACTACGGGCGCAAAATAAGGTCCTAACCATTATATCCCTGCAGTTTTCTTAAATTCGAAACTTCTTTTCCATCGATATCGAGCCACGCTTATGGCTGGCAGTCATTGTATTGGATTCGAAAAGATCCCGGTATTCATCCGAGACCATACGCTATTAACGCAGAGGGAAAAAAACAAGAGAAATAAAAATAAAATATATATTGGAAATTTTATTAAAGAGAGAATAAAGAAATGCCGAAACAAATTTTCAATTTAATGTAATAATTTTATCTAAAGCATTAATCTTTTATACTTGCAGAGCTGATTTAA